CGCATTCAGGCCCCATTTCTTCTGTCCGTAACCGTGAAGTGCTGGGCCAGTTAGTTTCTCTCCTGAGCCTCAGTTTTCTTATCAGAAAAACAGGGATAAGTCACAGTACCTACCTCTGGAGTTGTTGGAGGATTGAAATAATAAACTCAAAACCAACATTATGCCCAAGTATGGACATACGTGAGGATGCAGGGTTTGAATTTTTGTGCCCAAAGCACTCTACTTGTTCTAAGGGGAGATTCACGACCAGGGCGAGAAATGCTGGGGGCCCACGGTGAGATGTGGTTGTTTTGACCCAGCAGGAGAGCTTTCTCATGGCCCGAGTGGCTCAACTAGGAGGTCAGGAGCTCCATGCTGGTGGTGACATGGCAGAGGCCAGGCCACCACTTCAAAGGGCATTGTAGAGGGGATCCTGATGGAGGGGTGGATGAGCGGACCCGGAGATGGTCTCTCCCAAGTCCCAAGACACATGGACGCCCATCGCCTTCCCTCTAGGGCCACGGGGTTCAGACTAACTCTGTGTCTGTGCCCAGCCCGGGGTGTAGCCCCCCGCGGGTCCTTCTTGAGTATTTTTGAATGAGTAAATGGCTTGTCTTGATCTCCAAGGTCCTTGGCAGAAAATGTTCAGAGAGTGAATTAATTTGCTGTCTTTCTGGCAGCATGGCCGAAATGGATGAGCGATTCCAGCAGATACTGTCATGGCAGCAGATGGATCAGAACAAAGCCATCAGCCAGATCCTGCAGGAGGTGAGCCCTTGCCTAGGGTGTGAGGGTGGGGGGCCCAGGGCGCGAGTGGGGCAGGGGTACAAGGGCGTGAGGGCGGGGGCTCGAGGTGGGCACAGGGAGGGGTGCCTGGAGGGCTCAGTTGGTTAAGCTTCCGACTTTGGTTCAGGTCATGAACTCGCGGTTCGTGAGTTTGAGCCCAGCATCAGGCTCTGTGCTGACAGCCCAGAACCTGGAGCCTGCTTCCGATTCTGTGTCTCCCTTTCTCTCTGCCCTTTCCTGGCTCATGTGCACACGTGCGCTCGCTCGTGCTCTCTCGCTCGCGCTCTCTCTCTCTCAAAAATAAGTAAACTTTAAAAAAAAAAAAAGGGGGGGGTGGGCACAGGGAGTCTGGGGCAGAGCATCAGAAATGGACATGGAGCCCTGTCCTTAGAGAGCTTGTTAAGACCCAAGGTGTTTAGTCCATTTAGAAATGTACAGACTCAGGAAGAGGGGGGCAGAGAAAGGGAGAGGGGGGTGGCTTTCTGATCATGGAGATCTAGAGAAGCATTCCCCATTTCCCTGGCAGGCACCCACTCCCCGTGCTGTGTGGCTCCATCGTAAGGACCCCTCAGGGGCAGGATGTGGTGAACACGCCGTGGGGGTGGAGCCCACAAGAGAGCACTGAGGTGCCTTGAGTTCTTCCAGACTGCACACTTGCATCTGCTCCCTCACCTTCCTCATCAGTGAAATGGGGCAGTAAAAAGCCCCCACATCACTGATTGTGGGAAGTCCGTGTACGATGCAGGAGCAGCACTGAGTGTAGCATCTGGCGCTGATAAGCCTTTCATAAGTATTGTCTCTGAAATGCGAACAAGTGAGCTGAAAAGTCACGTGCTTGCTAGCAGGCAGAGTAGTCCTACATTAAAGTGTTTTTGAGCAGATTTTGAGCCTTCCCCTGGCATGAGCCACTGGGAAAGCGAGGCCGCCAAGCACCTGCTGAGCAGCCCCTGCTGTCTTGCAGAGTGCCATGCAGAAGGCTGCGTTTGAGGCTCTGCAGGTGAAGAAGGACCTCATGCACCGGCAGATCAGGAAGCAGGTGGGTGCTGTGGGCGGTGCCCCCGCCGCCCCCTTCCTGCGTGCTTTCCTGGACGGCATAGGTGGCTCTTTCCCGTGCTGGCTCAGCGAGTGGACTTCCCCAGATGTGACCGGTTCCTTTCCCACGACGCCCTGGGCAGACAGGAAGGGTAGTGCCCGACTGCGGCCTGGAGCCCCTGGGCGGCCTCTGCACCCACCACACTCCAGGCAGGACCCCCTTGCTGGGGAAATGCAGTTGGCTTCACCCCGGCCACCTCTGTCAGCTCAGGTGGAGAAGCTGGAGGGTGGATGGGGTGTCCCACGGGGGCAGACAGGGGTCCCGATGTCCCCGAGGGCGGATGTGCTGAGGTCCCAGCTCTGCCGGCAACCTGCAGGCTCTGCTGGACCCTCTGGGCTTTCTGGAGGGTGCGGTGGACCGTGGGTGCGCAGGCTGGAGACGGAGTCGGCTTTCAGGTCTCGGGAGTGGTCATCACATCCTACTTGGCACACTTTGAATTGTACATTTTTGCATGTGTATTTTTTTCTTTTTATTCTTTTCCTTTTTGGCCAAAACCAACTTCTCACTTTATTTCCCTCTTTAATTTCAACCCCACCTTGCCGGACATGAAGCTCATTCCTCTGACCTGGGGTTGGTTGGGGCCATAGGAACTTAGGGGCAAGAACCATAGGGGTCACAGGCTTAGGGCAGAGGAGTCACTGGCTATGGGGTCTGACCCCCAGACATCCTCACTGTGGGTGATTCTGACCCACCAGGCCACCTGTTCCCCTTCAGACCCTGAGCAGGGACGTCCCCGAGAAAGGGCTCACTTACTGACCTGCTCTGTGTCCTTGAGCAAGTCAGTTAACCTCACTGAGCCTCAACTTCCCCATCTATAAAATGGAGACCAGAATACCTCCTAGTACCCAGAGGAGATTTGATGAAATGACACAGATACAGTACACAGCACAGGCCTCGCACACAGAATGCTCCGTAAGCATCAGCCACTACCATTAATGGTATTACAGTATTACACAGTCCCCTCCGTTACCCTCTGCTCTCCTCTGTGATGGCAGTTACAGGAAGCGAGAGAGTCAGATGCGTACAGCACTCAGGACTTGTGTCTGGTCTGCACTCTGGCCTGAGCCTTAAAGGAAGGCCCGTCTCCATTTCATAAGCTCTTGGCACCCTCTGTGGTCCAGGCCCTACGATCAGCTCCTGAACAACAGTTCACCAGGACAGGCCCGTCCATGTCCCATAAGCGCTCGGGGCCCTGGAATAGCTGATTATTTTAAACTCCCACTGAGAGCTTTCCCAAGGCACCTAAGTCCCCTTCATTCCTGAGCCCCTCGAAAGGTTTCTTAGACCCCACTTGGCCTTCAGAGAGCAGCACAGATTCGAACCTTGGTTAATGTGAATTAAAAAAAAAACCCTGTCTCGTCTTCTGTTTAGATTAAGTTAATAGAAACTGAGTTATTGCAGCTGACACAGCTGGAGGTAAAGAGGAAGTCCCTGGACACAGAGGCATTGCAGGTACGTAGGGCTCCCTGGCCTGTCCCTCCCGCCCCAGAGGAAATCCCCACCTGGGCCCCCCATGCCTCCCTCCCAGCAGCCGCTCCCCAACAGGCAGATGGTCTTCTCCGTGACTGTGATGGGAGCACAGCCTGGGGGCTGAGCTCAGCACAGGCCAAGGTTACGGTCAGGTCAGCCTATTGCTCAGCAGGAGGGTCAGAGGAAAGAGGGTTTCATTGCCAAGGCTCACCCAGACCCATTTCCATCTCTTTGTTTTGAAGGAGGGTCACTGCTGAGCTCCCTGTCTCTCTAAACCATGCTTCTAGGGTGCTGGTTCAACTCATGGGCTTGACATCCTCTGGGGAAGGAGCTTTCTTGGTGTCCCAAGGATGTCTGGAGGAAAGCGCCCAACTGTTAGTGTGTCACTCCCTGCAGGTGGCTTCTCTGGGAGCCCTGGGCTCGGTGTCCTGCTTGTATAGTGTGGGGGCAGCAGGGACCGGCAGGTGGCGTCCTGGACTGTGTGTCCGGGACCTGGGCCTTCTCCCAGTATAGTCCTGCTTTGTGATCTGCGCAGGCAGGGGAAGAAGGCTGGACTCTGCCCTTCTCTGACCCCTTTCTGCCCAAAGGGGATTGATTAATGGTGTGTGAGGACCTGTGCCCACACCAGGCTTCTGAGCAGAGCCACCTGTCTGTCCCTGTGTCTTAAATTGTCCCCTGGCTTCTCGACTCAGTAAAAGCGTGCTAAGGTCTATAGTCCTGGTCTGTGGGCTGCCACAGGTGTGCCGTGTGACCTTAGGTCACCTCCCCTCTTAGGCCTTCGTTTCTCCCCTCCGTAAAATGAAATAATCTTCAGGCCCAGCCTGTGTCACAGGGCCACCCCACGGGGGTGAGCTCACCAACGCAAGGCCCTTTGGGAGCCTTGCCGTGGCCCTCAGAGAGGAGGGGGTTGGGGTAGCTCTCAGAGAAGACACAGCCACCGTACTTGGCAGGTACCCATGTCTCCTGGCCGTTCGAGCTTGTGGGGCTCCCATCTGGGGGGGCCTCCATGGGTTTCCAAGAGTAAGAAACAAGTGGAACAGAGATGCAGGCGAGGGCTTCACTCCAGTTTGCATGTGCCTCCATCTGTGTGAGAGCCTTCCAGACTCCTACAGGGATACACCCCAACCTGCCCCGCTTGTGCTTCTGCCCACATGCCCTGCCTGTAGTCCATGAGACTGCAGTCACACACCTGTGGCTTATCATTTCCTTTGTTTGATGTTTCTTACCATTCCACTGTCGTCAGTCACTAGATCCCATGCCTGGCCTGACCCCCCACGGGGAGAAGATGGGGAGGGGATGCCCAGACGGAGGGGCCCTTTGGCTGTGTCCCCCAGCGCTCAACCTAATTGAGTTGGGCCCACTGTGGGGTCCCTGCTGCCGGGCTTGGAAAAGGCAGGGAGGGGTGGGACTTGCCACTCCCTGGGGACTCTGGGCGCCAGAGCTATGCACTTCCAGCGGCACTGGGCCTGCTCTTGTGTTCCAGGAGATGATCTCAGAGCAGCGCTGGGCCCTGAGCTCCCTGCTCCAGCAGCTGCTCAAGGAGAAGACGCAGCGGGAGGAAGAGCTCCGGGAAATCCTGGTGCGCTCGGCTTCTGCGTCCCGGTCGCACATGGGTTCGCTTTCCCTAAACACACTTGCCATTCTTAGAAGCATTTTTGTTCAAGTAATAGTGGCTCATCAGAGAAAAAATGGAATGTACAGAGGAAAAGAATCTCCCTCCCGAGAGTTCTCGAAAGCTAACACTGGGATGTGTGTTTTCTAAACACTGCGATGCATCTTTATAAGCTGTGCGTGGATGTTCTGTGTAAGCCTCAGATGGAGCACATCCCTTTAGAACTAGCTTCTCTGCGTCTGTTCTCTTCGTGTCTCTGAAATGTCCTCTGCGCTCTCCCAGGCTGCGTGTGGATGGGCCATCGTAGCCTCTTGCCCAGAATTCACGCTACCTCCAGTTTCTCACTTTTCTGAGCAGTGCTGTCTTTGTAGCTAAGTGTTGACAATGGCCGTGAGTATTCATTCAAAGCAGATGCCCAGGAGGGGACTTTCTGTGTCCAGGGCAGGCTGTTTAATAAGCTTTTGACAGGAGATACCCAGCTGTCCCCTGTACCCAAATGGGTTTGAGGCTGGCACATTGTCAGAGTGGCAGAGCCCCATTTAAGGGTGGCAAGTTGGGGTCATTTTCACCAGACCCCTGTGGGCATCTGAGTGGTGGAGACGGAGGCCAGGCCCGCCAGCTGGGGCTCAGAGACTCGGTCGCTCCTATGGTGTCCTCGCTGCTCCAGACATCCTCTGAGCTCCTGTGGGCAGAGCCCCTGCAGACTGCAGGGAAGGAGGGAGACCAGCTTCCACAGCCCCCCACCAGCCCTTGTGATGTGCTGAGGCCAGTCAGAAGCTGCCTGTTCCTCACCATCCCCCACTGCCATAGCCTGCAAGTTGCATTAACATGCGAACAGTGCGTTAGCCTCATGCAGCAGCTGCCATGTGCTCTGGTCCTGTGCTCCTGCCCTCGAGGGGCCTCAGAGGACTCCCCATCCAGGGAAGGAAGAACCACCTCAGCAGATGGTGACTGTCAGGGTCATGGGCTCCAGAAGAGTGCTGTGGCTGCAGCCCAGGGAGGGTAGGGACCAGCAGAGGGGAGCAGCTCCCCAAGGTCTGGGAGGGACCACCAAAGGACAGCCAGGCCCCCCCAGGGGATGGGGGAAATGCCTGTGTTGAAGTCCTGCAGCCCACATCTTATTTGGTCCCCACCGTGTGGCCACAGTCCTGGCTCCTGGCTGGCTTGCTCAGAGTACAAGTCTTAAGGCAAAACAGACTTGTGTCCAAGTCCTGGCCCTGACCACGGGCAGCTTTCACCTGAGCAGGTTCCTGGTCACTCTGAGCCTCCCTTTCCTCACCTGTGCAGTTGCCCCCCCCCCCCCACCGGCCACCAGAGCTGTGCAAATTAAGGAAAATGGCATCTCGGTGCATAGTGGGGTCTGGCACACAGCACTCTGAAAACATTCGCTGCTGCTGTTAGTATCCTTTGTTCACAGCCCCGGCCCCAGCGCCTAGAACCATGTGTGGTCTAGAACAATACTCAGTGACTGCTTGTTCATGGAGGAATGAAGGAACCTGTTTCAGTACCTTGTCTAATGTTTTAGCTTTGTCAGAAGGGTGAAGCCCATTCTAGAAGCTCATATTGTCCTTAGAATCCTATTTTGTCTCCCTGCCTGTCACAAGCTCCTGAGCCCAAGTAGGGGGCCTGCAGAGCGTGGTGCCAGGTGTCTGCAGCCCAGATTCAGGCCCCGCCCCCAGATGGTCCCTGGCTGAGGTTGCTCACAGCAGAAACGGGGGTAGAGGGACTTCCTGCCTTTCCCGTTCAGTAGTTTAAACAGTGAGGCCATGGTGGCTGGGAACATCGTTTGTAAATTAGCAAACACCGCCCCACTCCCTGCACCTGCCCAGAGCATCATTTACAGTTGCCACGGTCATTAGACTTTTTATTTACTGATTTATAGCTGATGGTACTTGTTTTGTCCCTGGCAGACAGAGTTAGAAGCCAAAAGTGAAACCAGGCAGGAAAATTACTGGCTGATTCAGTATCAACGGCTTTTGAACCAGAAACCCTTGTCCTTGAAGCTGCAGGTAAGGGCTGCTGGCACCCACCCTTCCCGAGAGCCCTCCTGTGCCTTGGTGATATCTGGGTTCTTGATCTTTCTAGTTTATTTCTGTTCACATTTCTGGGGACAAGTGCGCTAAGCCCTGGAGGGACAGAAGAGAGAAGGACGGGTGCATTCATCTGGTCAGAGGCCAACACAGGTGGGCCACAGGAGCTGCCTACAGACACCTGCCGTGGGCAGGACGGAGATGCCCCCCAACACACACACACTGGTTTTTGTTGGGGCGCCTGGGTGGCTCAGTTGGTTAAGCGGCTGACTTCGGCTCAGGTCATGATCTCGTGGTTCGTGAGTTCGAGCCCCGCGTCGGGCTCTGTGCTGAGAGCTCGGAGCCTGGAGCCTGTTTCCGATTCTGTGGCTCCCTCTCTCTGACCCTCCCCCATTCATGCTCTGTCTCTCTCTGTCTCAAAAATAAATAAACGTTAAAAAAAAAAAAAAAAAAAAAAAAACAATAACGGGCAGTTCGCCAGGCGTATACCTAATAGATCATCTCAGTGTTTGTAGACAACTGCATAGCATTTAGTATCTGGATGAACCCTCGTTATTTTAAACAGCCCCCTCTTGATAGGTACTTGATTGCTCACCATGTTCCCATTTCCAGGTAGAGTGGCAGTGAGCTTCCTAGTACCTTTATCTCTACTTCCGTATGCATTTTTGTAGGAAAGATGCCAAGGAAACCCATCCTAAGTACATCCGGAGCCTTTGTTTGCCACTGTAAGTAACGAGGTCTCGTTTGCCTGCACTCACCTTCCCCGTGGGTCTGTCCTGCAGGAAGAAGGCATGGAACGCCAGCTGGCGGCCCTCCTGGTGGATCTGTCGGCTGAACACTACCTGCCCATCTTTGCCCACCACCGCATCTCCCTGGACACGCTGAGCCGGATGAGCCCTGGGGACCTGGCCAAGGTGGGAAGCAGCAGCCCCTCAGGGGAGGTTGAGGGGTGAACCGAGCCGCTGTCCGATCCGCCGAGAGTCGACTTACTCTGGTGGGGTTCTTGGTGAGGTCTGCCGTTACCCAGTGGTCCAGGGTCCGCTTGCTTCCAGGTGGCCAGAACACCTACCCCATCGGTCCCTAACCCCCTGCGTGTGCCCTGCACGCCACCTGCCTAAGAAAATCCAGGGATGTGAGTTCTGACCCCAGGCTGCCCCACCCGCTCAGATTGGACCTTCACGTTGTGGGCCCAAGACAAGTCCTTGCAGGTCTGCTCCAGCCCTGGCCCACGCCGTGGTGTTGCAGATGTGGCACGGCGGCACTTCCTGAACCTGCTTGCTTCTGGGTAGAGCTGAGCACCTTGCGTTACTTGATTTACTCTTCACGTGAGCCAAATAATGGCGGCCCACATCTCTAGCGCTTGCCTGCGCCGGGTGCTATTCTAAGTGCTTCTCGAGTGCTAGCACCTTGAACCCTCCCAACAACCCAGGCAGAAGGGTATTCTTGTCCCTGTCATTTTTCAGATGAGGAAGCTGAGACACAGCAAGGTGGTAACTTGCCCAAGGTCACACAGCGGAGCTAGGACTCGAGCGTGAGTGGTCTGGTGCCAGAGTCCATGCCATTTACCACTCTGCTGCTGTGTCGCCTGTCCCTTGGCCCAAAAACCGAGGCTCTGGAGGGCTGCACGGGGGCTCTGCCTCCCAAGGGACCGTGTGGTTCCAGCACTCGGCCTTGGCGTGAACCGCCTGGCCCTTCCCATGAACTCTGATCCTGGATCCTGTCTTACTGGTTGTCGTGGGGTTGACATGCAGTCACGCAGGTGAAGGAGTCCCTTCCTCGGTGCAGGGGAAGCACGTGCTAAACTGTAGCTGTTACTAGTGTCAGTTTCCTTTGGGGCCTCTGTTTCTCTCCCTGCCACCTGGTCATCTTCATAGCTGTGGTACTGCACTGGGGCAGGGTCAACTGGGTGTTGACCCTAGGGCCCAGGCCTCCATGTGTCCAGTGGAAGGTGCCAGAAGCCATGAGGCAGCCCTGATGGCTCTGTACTGTGTAGCGAGCTCTCGCGCAGCCCGGGCCATAACTTGCTTTTCCCTGAACTGGCTCAGGTGGGCGTCTCGGAAGCCGGCCTGCAGCACGAGATCCTGCGGAGAGTCCGGGAGCTGTTGGGTGCGGCCAGGATCCAGCCAGGTACCAACGCCAGGACACCTCCTGAGCAGAGGCCCCCACCTTACTTGTGGACTATGGCCCGGGGCGTCCCCTGTTTACATTTCAGGACGAGAACTGAGGGCTGGTCCTAGCCCCTGCCAGTCCTTAAGATTCCCTCCCAGAGGAACAGGATTTACAAACGGGAAAAACGGGCCACAAAAATGGGGGAACAAAGAAGCTTCCTTGCAGAAGAGGCCCTCCTGGTTCCCTGTCCTAGAACCTTCCCTAAAGCTACTCTACAAACACAGGGAACCACACACCCAGATCCTTGAGTAGAGGGAGAAACCAGCCCTAGCCAGTGCCTGACACTGTGCCTTGGGCAGGCCTGTGGTTGGACGTGGAACAAGGTTCGTGGTGACCTGTGAAAGGGGCAAAGGCAGGTCATAAAGCCACTCCAGCTGCGCCTGGAGGCCCGGATAAGGTAGGTGCTGTGGCTGCCGTGGGAGTAGATGGGCGTCGGGGATCTCCTGTGTCCGAGCATAATCCGGGTACGAGGCGTTTGTCAACCGCTTTACAGGTACCGTGTCATGGCACCTCTGGCAGGTGGGTGCTGCTGTTCCTTTCATTTGAGAGATGAGGGAACTGAGGCGGAGAGGGGCTAATGTGTCTGCCGTAACCTCACACAGCTGGCGAGCGTATGTAAACCTCAGTACAGCTGAGCTTTACTGCCTCCCTCGAGAAGAGGCCGAGGGGCCTTGGCAAGGGAAGCGGGCCTGGCACAAGGATGAAGGCGGGGGGTGAGCCCGTGGCACTGCCCGCCTCAGGCAGGGTCCGTTCAGGGGAGAGACTAAAGGTGGGGTGGCCAGACCAGATTGCAGGGGCGAGGCAGGAGCTCTGCTGCCGGCAGGGAGGAGGCCCTGGGCCCCCAGGCGTCTGGGCCAGTGGCAGCACCATGATGTCCTCGGGCCCCAGCTCTCTAGCCAGTTTTATTCCAGAGACACTGACCCAACCTAACCAAGTCCCTAAACTCACAGTCCTTTCATTAGACACCTTCCTCCCCTTGCAGATGTTTTCCAACCCTGGTCCCTCCTGCTGTCAGACTGGAGGTCAGGTTAAGTTTGACATCAGGAGTTGGGGTCTCCTCATCCCACCCCCCCCACCCCCCCAACAAAGATTCCCTTCACTCTGAGCCCCTCCCCCTCCCGACACCTGCCTCCCACAGTCCCCCACCATCCCCAGGGCGGCTTCCCGACTGTGTCCACCTTCAGGGAAGGCTGGGTGGGATGGTTTCCTCTCAGCAGCAGAAGGGGCAGGAGACCTTCAGCCATTTTCCTAACATTCTCTTGCTGCTCCCAGAACTTGGTAGGTGTCCCGTTACATATAGAAGAGCCCCTTGACGGTGATGGTTTGGGGGTGCCATGGTACCTTTAGAGAGCCTAGTGTTGTAACGGCCTTAAAAAATATATATTCAGATGTTTCCAATTATAAAAACTTCTCCTTCAAACCATAGGGTAGATGGAAAAATGTGAGCCGTGATCAGGATGGGCGTCAGGGCTGCCGAAGACTCGGGGATGGGGGTGTACTTTGCATGATATGAAAGAGACTGCATTTTGTAAGGGCTGATTCTGGTGTCCTGCCTGTTGGGAACCCGGTGGGGGATGCTGGCTCTAGGGCAGAGGAGGGGCAAGGGTGGAGGGGACAGCCTTGGGGGCTTCTCCTTCCTCTCCCTACTTCCTGGTGACCTGAGGGCAGCGGCCCATCCTGTCTCCTGGAGGAGGGGCTGAGAGCATTGCCCCATCCACTGCAGAGTCCCTAACCGAGAACTCCTGCACCACGGCTCTACCACCAGATGGCCCTGTGGTCTTGGACAAGTGGCTGCCCTTCCCTGAAAGGGACAAGCCCTCTTGCAGGGTGGCCATGAAGGATCCGGGGAATGGTCAGGGGTCAGAGGCCCCAGATAACCAGCACTGTGGCGATCCCTGCCAGCCTCCCTGCACTCCTGCCTTACAGAGGAGGGAATGAGGCTCAGAAAAGAGTTAAGGGGGCCCTTACCCCTACCGTGAGATCAAAGTGCCCCTCCTGAGCTCACTGTCCACTCGTGGCAGGCAGAGCCAGGGGACCCCCTGTGGGGTTGGGATCACTGGGCCATGACCCTGGCTCAGCCTATCCCTCTGGTCCTCACAGAGCCACTGAACCCACCCAAGGGTGAGGTCCCTGGGGCCATGGAGGTGCCCACCGCCCCCGAGGAGCTGCCTGAGTCCGTGAGCCCGTCCGCTCCCCCAGCAGAGCTGGAGGTGCAGACTTCAGAGTGCGTCGTGTGCCTGGAACAGGAGGTGAGTCTGGGGCAGCAGCCCCTCCCCCCATGCACCAGCCGGGCCGGCACCCATCCTGAGCCTTTCCAGACTCGTGTTCTTTCTAGACACTTTTTTTCATTGGTAGAAGTGTATTGTGTTCATTAGAAACTTTGGGAAATCCAGGAAAGCAAAAAATACAGTAAATTACCGTGATCCTATGACCCAAATGTGAGCATTTTCTGGGGTTTATTTTCTTTTTTTGAAAGAGGGGGCTTTCCCCCACTACTTGAGAAAAATTTCCCATGTCCTTAAATACTAACAGCACAATTTTCTCTGAAGAGGCTTTTAAAAAGCTGTCTTTAAAAATCTATAACAAATTAATGCTTATTGTAAAAATTAACATAGTGTATAAAATCTCCCCTCCCTCTGCCGTGCGATCCTACTTAAAAGAAGCAACCATGTTAGCAGTTGAATTACTCCACGGCCATGATGTGTAGGGAGGTGTTGGTGATAAATGGAACCAAACCCCGGCTTTTGGGCCCCATGTTTCTTCCCATGTTTCTTCCCATGTTTCTTCCTGCAAACCCTGCTGTACCAAATAGCCTTGAACGGAGTTGATTATTTCCTCAGGATAAATCCTAAAAAGAGGAAATGCCGAAGCAAAGCGCAAGCGTGCTTCCGCTCCATGCTGTTGGGAGTAGTTTGTAGACCGAGGGGCTGATCAGGATACAAAAAGGCAACAATTAAGACAGTCTACGCGTCCAAGGGGCAGGGCTGGTGAGACGCCGTGTGGCCTCCCATGTAGCTGTCGGAGGGCACGGAGGGTCCAGGATTGGTGGCGGGTGATGACCACCATCACGTGGTGCTATTGGGTGGTATCAGATGCTTCCGGTAAAGGACGGCGGGGCAGGGGGAGGTTGCCCAGCCTCCAGGAACAGGCGGGGCAGGACCCAGACGCTCCCCCTCCCTCCTCAGGCCCAGATGATCTTCCTCAATTGCGGCCACGTCTGCTGCTGCCAGCAGTGCTGCCAGCCGCTGCGCACCTGCCCGCTGTGCCGCCGGGAGATCGTGCAGCGCCTCCGCATCTACCACAGCGGCTGAGCCGCCGCCTGCTCCGGACAGACCCGTGCAGCTCCCCTCTGCCCTGGGCCCTCGTCTCACAGCCTGGAGGTGCCCCCCGCCCCGCCC